AATAAATAAATAAGGGGCACCTGGGTGGCTCAGTCAGTTAAGCATCCGACTCTTGGTTTCGGCTCAGGTCATGTTCTCATAGTTCACGAGTGCAAGCCCCAAGTCGGGCTCTGCACCAATAGCATGGAGCCTGGTTGGGAGTCTGTCTCTCTTCCTCTCTCTTTCTCTGATCCTCCCCCACTCGTGTTCTCTCTCCCTCTCTCTCAAATAAATATTTTTAAATTAATTAATTTAATGTATTCATGACTATGCCCAGTGTCTTCACCGTGGAACCCAGGGATTTTCCTCTTTGCCGTCCACCTACTGAGTCTTACCAGCTGGTCATACCAGGTCCAGGTGGCAGTGTCTCCAGTGTTTCTCCTCCTGGGAGATGAAATCTTAGCAAGGCTTCTGAAGAATTTCTCAGAATTTGTTCTTTTAACATTATCTTTAAATGTTTTCTATTTTCTTTTATTATTACTTTAAAATATATATTTACTGATAAAAGAAGGTTATGCTAGGGGCGCCTGGGTGGCTCAGTCGGTTCGGCGGCCGACTTCGGCTCAGGTCATGATCTCGCGGTCCGTGAGTTCGAGCCCCGCGTCGGGCTCTGTGCTGACAGCTCGGAGCCTGGAGCCTGTTTCAGATTCTATGTCTCCCTCTCTCTGACCCTCCCCTGTTCATGCTCTGTCTCTCTCTGTCTCAAAAATAAATAAACGTTTAAAAAAAAATTTAAAAAAAAAAAAAAAGAAGGTTATGCTTTTTAAACCTTTTTTGTCTGGGCTTATTCTCTTAAATATCCTGCCTATAATCTGCCTCCACATTTATAAGCCATGCCTTGTAGATATTTCCGAAATTTCAGCTGGAACCTATTTTGTGAAACATATTTAAACCTAACTTAATAAATACCTTTTATAAAGCATCATTTTCAACCTATGAAATTATACTCAGAGAATTAAAAGTGCTTATTCCAGGAATCGTATTACTTTAGTCATTTATTTTTCTTCACTGTGGTATGTATTGATAAATGTTGCTGTAAAACAGCTCTTGGATAGCATGTTGTACATACTTAATATTAGTAATATTCAGGCTTTCTGGTTAATCACGAAGAAAGAATTAGAGATTAATTTATCTTGATGGTCTCATTTGCACTTTGCTATCACCATCCTTTTTAAAAATCTGCTTTTTCCAGTGACCTTTCTTGATTCCTTGCTAATCTCTTGACCAAGTCTTAGTAGTGTTCAACTCTGACACCGTTCGATCAGGATAATTGTGTGCCAGATCTAGTTGTTAGTCACTTTCACTAATGGGATCCCAAGGATCAACAAAAGATTGCTCAAAAGCACATTAAGTGATATGCCTGTTGGCTCCTGCTTGAAAACAAAACGGAATACAGAGCTCTTTAGATTCAGTGATCGGTTCTCTTGGTCTGGCCCTACTGTGTGCTGAGCAGATGGGCCGCACCTACAAGGATGAATAAGACTTCCTGCCTGCTCTCCTTCATGTATCCTTTTTTTTCCCTTTTAAGTAGAATCACAGTTGCTTTGAAAGCTGTGGGAGGCCAGTTCTCATAATGCAGTCCCTGCAGCTGATCTCATTCTTAGAGCATTGCTTAACACAGTACCTCCCACCATTCTTCCAAAAGTTGAACCACAAAATTAAACAATAGCAGAGGGAGAGAAACACTAGAAAGCGGAGTCAAGGGAGAAAAAATATGTTGTGAGCTTGTGAAATTCTCTCCCGAGATCCTTGTTCTGGATGGCTCACAAGTCACATGGATCTCAGGGCTCCTCTGGGCCCAGGTCCCTGGGAGGGAATCACACTCTGCCATGCACGTGCAACTCAGCTCTGAAACTGAGCTTATAAAGATGTGTGTGGCCCCTTCCTCCCTCCGTCCTGTTTTATGCATGTTTGAGGACCTGAAGGTCCCTATGCAGACACTGGGTTTTTTTTAGAGTTTTTAGGGCTTTTTTTTTTTTTTAAGTAAAATATCTTTCCTCAGCTTTTTCTTCTGAGTGCCTTCATACTCGCTCTTTTCCCCTAAGGACTGTGGTTCAACTTCCAGTCTGGTGTTGAGAATTCATCAGTGCCACTGCTGTAGTTATGTCTCTTCACCTTCTTGGCTGCCTAGTGCCTCCTGGCATTTTATCCAGTGGCGCAGACCGTATTCCTCTCATTCAGCTTACTAACCTTGAAGTACAATTTCCATGATACACTTTTGTCACTTGTGAGGAATAGGTGGGCAATTCTGTAGATCTTTCTTTACCATTAAATGCAAGTGGCACTCCAGGTTCCCAGAAGATGACAATCTCCCAGCCTCAGGAAATTCTCTATTTTCTGCTATTAGAACATACACTCCAGACAGATACTGAATATTATTTCAAAATACATTACTGTTTCACAAATTTGCTTGTGTTCATTCTGTCTTTATGGGTTTCTCCCCACCCAACTATTTTCTGATATTCCTTTTTTTTTTTTTTTTTTTTTTTTTTTTGGTCAGTCCTCACGTGAAAATCATCCAGAGTCTGCTCTGGGCCACAGCTAGAGTGGAAGTGGAGAGGAAAGCCTTCCCGTAATGGATAATGAGGCTCTCAATATTAGTTCCATCTTCAGGATTACATCAGCCACTTTCTTCCCTGACATTATCAGCAGAGAGGGCAGAAGGCAGTTTTCAGTGTTTGCCTAATTGACACAGTTATAAAGATGAGCGTTTTTCCTGAAAAGCCTATAGTTGAATTGAAAGAAACAGTTGTTCTCAGTCAGTAGTCATTATATCTCTCACTCACTGCCATTTTCTGAAGGGACTATTCAGAGACAGAAATAATCCCCTCGTTCCAAAATTATTCAGGGCTTTGGAGTCCTGGTTTTGGTTTACAAAGGGAAGGTTTCATGTTATACTTCAAGTAATTTTTTTAAGTATGTAAAACCCAAGAAGTAAAATGAAATCTGTTTTTATCTGCCCAACATGTCCTGTATTTTTATAGATACCATGCAGGTTTTTTGTTTTTGTTTTTTTTTTACCTCTGTGTACACTCACCTGTATAACCTGAATAGTTTAATAGGAAATATGCATCTAACGTTAGAGGAGTTTCTGATCAGTTTTCCTGGTTATAAACATAAACTCCTTGTGGTCCTTCTTTCCTTCTTTTCCCTTGCTCAAATGCACCAATTCCATCATTTGGTGGGATCAGATGTTTGAAGAACGTGAAAACTCTGCATCGTTTTCAACACCCCTCGCCCCCCACCCCCCCCACCACTCCCACAAAATACACATATACACAAATATGTAAAATTGAATTCACCATTTTAGGGGCTTCACAGACTCCCTAAAACT